GCGCACCCTCGGCCTCGGGCCTGCGCGCCGGCCGCTTGGCCGTGGCGATGGCGGTGGCGGTGGCGGCGGCGGCGGCGGCCGCGGCGTCCCGGCGCCGCTGTTCCTGCTCCGCGCTGAAGCGCTCCTGCGCGCTGGTCAGGTAGTAGCCGATCATCTCCTCGTGGAACTGATGCCGGTGGCTGGTGAGCAGCAGGCCGGCGAAGATGAATTTGCGCTCGCCCTGCATGGCGGCGCGCAGGATGTTGAGGCTCAGCTTCACGTCCGTGCTGTACTTCCAGGCGTCGCCTTTGGACCCGCTGCCCTTGTCGTTGGGCGACGTGCCCGCCGCCTTGTCCGTGGGCGACGGCGTCGTCTTCTCCGACGGCGAGGTGCTAGCTGACGCTCCCGATTCCTCTTTGCTGCCCTTTCGCGACTTGGACTTTTTCTCCTTGCTGCGCTCGGCGCTGTCGCCGTTCTTGCCATTGGCGGAGTTGGCACGACCCATCTTACCGTGCACCAGGCCGCCAAGTCCCCCCATATTTTTCTTCAGCTTGATGCCCAGCGTCTTGCTGAAGCTGCCCAGCTTGTTGGCCACGGAGTCCGCGCGTGTCTTGTCCTTATCCTTGCGCTGTTTCTCCTTCTCCTTGTCCTTACCGTTCTTGCCATTATTGCTGTTTGAATTGCTGCACACAGAATCGCGGTCCGAGTCCAGCGATTCCGCCAGGGACTGCACATCCTCCCCTGCCGAGGCTGTTGGAGACTCTGGCTGTGCAAGGGGAGCCTGTGGGAGAAGGGCGGCAGGAAGGAAGGTGGTTACAGAAGAGCTGTCCCCGTGTATGCCCCACGAGAACACAGGTGGAGCCGAGACTGGGACACTGGGGTTTCTCTGTGAGCTCTCTGCTGCTCTGGGGGTTGGGAGATGTCTGCCTGAGAAGGATGGAGGTGTTTATGGAACAGGAGCCCACAGAGTCCTCATCTGTTGCAAGGGTGGAAGACAGACTCAGATGTTGGCAGACTGCTCTGGGAGGGACCGCATACCTTCAGCACCATCCTTTGAGGGATTCATCTCTAGGAATTCATAGAGACCTAGTAGTCTAGAATCCCAAGTGGACGAATAGAGGTAGAATGCCCATAACCCAGCTGGTGTGGCATTCCAGAGCTTCGGTGTATTTTATGGAGAAACACTAGCTCCACACTCTGGCCGCCCTCCCCGGCCAGGCTACAGGCACCATTAGAAACAGGTTCCAGGTCTCTGATGCTTTCAGTGAGGATGTGGGAGGACACTAATGAAGAAATGTCTTGGGGAATAACCTGGATGACTCTGCCTAAGGTTCAGCCAATGAGGAGGGCAAGAGCATGTAGACTATGGCTAGGCCAATCTCTGGGACAGGTGGTGAGCCTGGGAAGGCTTCGGGGAAAGGGCATGGTGAGTAAGCAGTTGCCATAGGTCCTCCAAAGAGGAGCCTTCCTGGTGAGGAAAGTCATTGGGAAGGCAGCATCCCTCGTGCCAGCATTTGGGAGTGTCAGGCACTAGCACATGCCTGAACAGGCCTTTCTGGTTTCCAGAAGAGATGTGAGAAGCCATTGCTCTTCACTTTTTGTCCTCTACTCAAGCAGGTTCCTGAGGGATGGCCCTCAGTGGCTAGGTCACTAGAAGCATTAGCTGGCAGAACTGGACTCATGGGAAATCCCTCCCCACGCTTGGGTTTGAAGGAGTGTGGGGGTCATAGGTTGGTTGTTTGCCAGGGACACTAAGGGGTGCAAGCTCTAAGGCTGAAACAGGGAAGGGAGCCCAGTAAGTGAGGAGCTCAGACTTTGTGCCCCTCAGCAGTGGGGTTGTCTGCTGAGCTTTGAACTTGAGATGGAGGTCACCAAGGCCTGGCCAAGCACCCCTCTCACTGTAGGGCAGAGATGTTCCCAGCTGGAAGGTTCTGGTTCTGGATCTAGGGCTGCTGCCATTGCATACCACGTGGGTGCTAGAGAGCGTCATCCTGGGCTCAGTGACAACTTCCAGCACGGAAGAGGCAGGACTCTGCCACCAGTTGGCTTTCCCTGCTGCCCTCAGGAACGCAGCGAATCAGAGCCACGTGGGGGCGCCCTACTCGGATGATGTCCAGGTGAAACGGAAGTGAGCGATCAGAGCAGTAGGGCAGGAACCTTTCAGCGGGATCTCTTCTTTCAGTACTTAGACCCGCTGGATGTTTAAGTAAACGCATGCCAGGGAGGACCAATTATTTGCAAGCAATTTTCACAAATCCTTTCCCTGGGAGTTCCCTCCCGAGATTATGAAAACATCAGCCACACACTTAAAAAGAATCTCTGACCTTCTGCCAGCAGGGGCAGGCCAGTAGTTCCTCCAGGGCAGGGTTTCCCCAAGCCCCCCTCCCAGGAAGGGACAGGTGGGTGGCTTCCCACTTTCTGCCAGCTCCACCAGAGGCCACCTCCGCCTCGGGGAGGGGAGGGGGCACACCGAGGACTTGTGCCGTCGGTTCCCCAGCTTTTCTAAGGATCCACACAGACTTATAATTAATTCCGCTCTGCCGCGGCACATTTTGTTCTGATCTCAGCAGAGATAGTTTTGTGTTATGACTTGCCTACGGTTTGTTTTGCGAGTGGGCGTGTTTATTCCTCTTCTGCTGTGCAAAATAGGAGGGGAAAAAACCTTAACTGAAGTGTGGTCTTTCTCTTCTCTCTCTCTCTCTCTCTCACTCTCTCTCTCTCTCTCTCTCTCTCTCACACACACACACACACACACACACACACACACACGCGCGCGCGCGCGCGCTCCCACTGGAACCAACAGGAAGTGTTTGGGCTGGGAGCTATAGTGACGGGGCCGGGTCCCGAGACGGGAGGGGGTGGGGCCTCCGGGCGGCGCCTAGCGCTGGTGTGTAGGGACAGTCAGAAGGACGGTACAGTCCGGCCGGCACCGGCAGAGCGGCTGCTGCGGGGCACTGGGTTGGGGCTCCATGCACTCAAGGCTCACCCGGGTCTCTGAGGGGATGCGAATCCACGTCACATTCATGTAGCTGTGTAGAAGGTTCAGCTTGGCTTCTAGGGACAGGATGAGGCTGACAGAAGAACACAGGCGACACGCGCTCACTCGCCTGCACGCGCAGCCCTCTCTGCTCCCCAGCCCCCCAGCCCCCCACAGGAGCCCCGCCACCGTTCTCCCGCGGGGGTGGGGTCGGACTGTGGGGGCAGGTCTTACTGGGCTAGCCGGGCATTGTCGTTGTCGTCTTTCCCCCACTCCCAGTCTTTCCCCGGGTCCACCGCAAAGTGCAGGGGCAGCAGCTTGTGCTCCGAGTCCGTTAGAGGGATCACAGCTGAAACAAAAGGGAGAAAGGCACCGTGGCAGGCAGCCCACCCGCCCGCCAGGAGGCCCGGGAGCACCGGCAGAGCTCGGAGCTCTGGGAGAGAAATTCAAGGCTAGCTGTCCTGGTGACAGGCAACCCAACGGAGATAGAGGTAGACACAGAACTTGAATTCCAAGAGTGTTAAGACCATAAGGTTTCAAAATCTGTCCCATTATGTAGATGAAGAGCAAGCAGGTGGACTGGCTGGGTGTCTTTGTGTTAGAGGGCAGACTTCCCTCTGCGTGTCAGGATGCGAAGAGGCTATGGCTGCCTCTGCCCCCAGGCCGGGAGGCGTACTGGGGGAGGCCGCTTTGGAGTGGCCTGCTCCTTGTCTCCATTTCCTCTCAGGGAAGGGCAGAGTTTGTCAGTCAGGAGAGGCATGTGCTGAGCTCTACTGCAGAAAGCCTGGGGGGTGGAGTTGGTGTGGGGTGGGGGCTGCAGACCCCCTGACCCTGCTCCCAGGGCACAGAAGCAGGCTGTCACACACGAAGCATCTGGTGACATGTGGGAAAGGCAGCCAAGCCGTGCTGGTCTAAAGTCCCTTTAAAAGGGGAGTGGGGAGGGAGCCTTCTGTGGGGTGGTGATTGGGTGGGGGTCTGGCCTGCTGTTCCTCAGCAGAATTCATTCACCACCAAGCATCTGGACAGAAGCACAGCAGCTTTAGAGATCAGAGTGGGTGGGGTGGGGGTGGGTATCTACAGGTGTGCTGAGATCTGACAAGAGTTCCTGAGGGGGCCCGGCTACCCAATAAATGGAATCTTCAATGTCACACCTGTCTTCGCTCTCCTAAGGCTGTTGCCAGGAAGAAGTGGGGAGATGGTTTCCAAATTTCCACCTTTCAATTAAGTACAGGTCTCCTTGTGCCACTCCATTTTGTATGCCCCACCCCTCTAGAGTATCACCAGCAGAGAAACTCAGCCCAGGGCCTCTGGAAGCTGCTTTGTTCCTTTGCTTGCCACAGACCATGATTCATGCTAGCAGTGCCATGGCAAGAACAAAAAGGCAAACAAAACACAAAACCGAGGAGCCAATCCTGCAAACTTTGAGAAATTGGATACGACTCAATGCTGCCCTCTAGTGTTTCTAAAGGAATTGTGGGCGCAAACTGCTCCCTTCCTCTTCCCATCTCTCTTAAACAGATGAAAGGCAGTTTTGCTGATTATCAGCCAGCTCAGGGGTTTTACTTGAGTGTGGCCAGGGATGGAGCAGTGCAGGCATGGTCTGAAGGGGGAGGGGGCAGGGTCATTTCAGCTTCTGCTTTGATGTAGCCTCCCTTCTCAGGGCTGAGCTCAGGAACTGGTCTTCCTAGGGCGATGGCCAGAAGCCTGTCCTTTTTGCCATCATGCAAACGTTGAGGCCTTAGCCTGGCTTCCCACCAGTGCCTGGGGGCAGCAGAGGTGATCCTTACCCACACTGGTTCCAAGACTCACTAGGCAGCGAGGTCTCCTAGGGCTCTGTACTGTATGCAGAGGCCCAATACAAGGGTCCAATCAGGGCGGAGGACAACATTGTAAATATGCTTCCCTGTGGATCTTGAAATCAAGGTGTTTTGGACAACAATAACCTACCAGGAGAGCAGCTCCTGTGGGTATAATCTGGGTGTTCTGGCTTTGGCAGTCTACCCCTTTATGGGGCAGAGCTGGTTGGAAGAACATTTCCGCTGTTACTACACTTTGCATTATCTTAGTATGGGGCCGGGTGGGGGTGGTTTGCATAGCTGGGTGCATAGGCTGTGAGTGAAGTAATGTGTTAAATTCTGGGGAAAAGTCATCTGCTAATCCCCTGTTAACGGCTGTGTTTACTTGGGAGCCCAGCCTGTATGTTGTTAGCCACTGTGGTTTGGTTTTGTTCCTCCAGGAAGAGAAAAGGGAAACCCACCAACTCTGATAGGCTCCTGTCTGCAGAACTGAGCATGGTGTTCACAAAAAGAACGGGCGAGGGGCTGGAGGAACGTGTGACTCAGTTGGTAAGCTCCCTTGCAAACATTATGTTCAAACCTATTAAAGGCTGGGTGCAAAAATCTATGCCTCTTACCTAAACTGGGACATCCGACTTTTCTGACCTTCTTGTTATAGTATACCCTCAGCAGATGGGCTGGACTGGGTTCCTGGCCTGTCCAGTCTGAGAAGACAATTGGCACACAACTGAAGATTCTAGTGCTGGCTACCTAGAAAGAGCCTGACAGTCTGTCTTGGGGTGAGGGACTGGAGACATGTGGCTCATTCCTGATATCTAAAGTGTGTGATGCTGCCTGTTTGAGGGCTGAGAGAAGGTAAGCGGGGGGGGGCAACTCAAAAATGGGTCCTCCCCATGGGCATCAATTACACTTCATGTCTGCCCCATTGTTACACAGAAAATTCTCCGTCTACTTCACCAAGGCAAACAAATGACGGCGTGGCAAGGCGCCCTCTGGTGGCAAATGTCAGTAATAGCAAAAGCTTTCAAAACACGTCAGAGCATTTACTCTTTGGTTTGCTTTGGAAAGAGCTCTCTCTTACTTTTAGCCTGCAAGTCTACTGATAGTATCTCCAACTAGCCCTTGAGGATTTAGAACATTCATTTTATAAAACACAAATGGGCATTTCTACTTAAGATGTTTGCCATTACAGTAATAAAGCTGCAAATTCTCAGCTTATCTTTCAGCCTGCCCCTGAACTGATGGCTCGGCCAGTCTCAGTGCCTCAAGTTCTAAGGAAAGAAAGATGCCTCAGAAGCAAGATGGAGACACCTAGGAGGGGCTGACTCAGACCCCATAGGAAGAACTGAGCTAAAAGTTTTATACTCAGGAAAGAAGAATGCAAGCCAGTGACGTTATATAGACCCTTCCTCCAGGAAGAGAAAAGGGAAACCCACCAGCTCTGATAGGCTCCTGTCTGCAGAACTGAGCATGGTGTTCACAAAAAGAACGGGTGAGGGGCTGGAGGAACGAATGACTCAGTTGGTAAGCTTCCTTGCAAACATTATGTTCAAACCTATTAAAGGCTGGGTGCAAAAGTCTATGTCTGTAATCCCAGGGCTGGAGACATGGAGACAGGAGGACCCAGGGCCTGCTGGACAGCCAACTGAGGTAAATCAGAAAGCTCCACATTCGGCAATAGACCATGTCTCAAAACACAAGGTACAGAGTGACTGAGGAAGATATAATACTGACCTTTGGTTTCCATAAGCACAAATACCTGGGTGCACCCTCCACCTCTCCCACCCCCACCTAAGATGGGCTGAAATTCCCTGAAAGTGTTCTCTGCAGAGCTGAGGTCAACAGATACAGGGTACTCTTAGGACAGTGTTCTATGTCACCATGCTTAAGCAGGTATCTCATTCAAGCACTGTGTCTCTGTCTGTCAGGGGGGTGTGACCACAGACACACATATCTGTGTCCTGACAGATTTCAACATGCACTCTAAAAAAAGGGGGGGGGTGCCTGTTTCCAGGAATGAAGTGATTTCCTCAGTCTTTCCTGTCTTAGAAGATGACTTTCAGGAAACATAAAGTAACAGCAAGAACAACATAAACCTATGAGGAAGAAGAAAAGTCATGAACACATGAATATGTTGACAAGACTCTAACACAGGTGTGCAGGCATGAAGTTGTTCTCTTCTGTTTGAGAAAGATTTTATGTCTCCTGCATGTCGTGGAGCTATTTTACTAGACGTAGAATTTGAGACTGCAGTTCCCCCCCCCCCCAGTCTTTAAGATACCACTCTGTTATCTTTCACCTTACCTGCTTCATGAAAGTCATTATGATGCTAGAGACAATGATAGAGGGCCTAATTCTCCATAAAGACACAGAAGCACAACATAGAAGTATGCTTTTCATGTTGTCTCAGTTTTAAAGCAACTCCCCTTTATCTGCATCCCAAGACCCTCCCAGTGGGTCTTGGCATCAACTTAGACACAACCAAGGTTTTGCAACTATTGGGGATTGAATGTAAGATAACTGATTCATGTTGTAGACAGAGAGAAAATATGGACACCAGGTAGGTTTTGATACCTTATTTTAGAGAGAAGAAATTTTCTATCAAAGCTAGAAATAAAACTAACAACAGACAAAAAAAGCTTACAACAAACTACAACGGACGAGAAGAACACCTTTGAAAGATTCACAGCCAAGTAAAGGATCTGTGAACATCAAGATGGACCAGTCTGAATCAGCTAAGCTGCAACAAAAAGAGGAAAGGTTGGGTAGGAGGCAGAACACCCAGGAGCTATACGTCAGTGACAGCCAACTTACAATCTGTGTCAGTGTCACTTCGGAGAGATGATAGAGGAGGCAGAGAAAATACTAAATCACATACAAAACAAGCAAACCCACCACAGACCAGGAAAGCCATAGAACAGCACTAGGGAAAATTACAGCAGCACTGCCACAACATAATCACTCCGTCCCCACAGCATATTAAACCCCAGAAGCAAGACAAAAAAGAAAGACAAGGTAGATACAGAGAAAAGAGGATAAGAATTGAGCATGCCGTCCAACGGTAAACAGATAAAGCAAACGGGTTGTATCTTTAGAGGGATGAAAGAAAAACTGCTAATTATGGCTCTAGCAAAGAGCTCTGAGACATAAAGGTGATCCAAAAGCCTTCTCAAACCCCCAAAAGCCAATTCACTGCTTGCTGATCTGCACTGAGGAGTATCAGAATCTCACAAGAAGAAGGAAAGTAACAACACTGATGGCTTGAATTTATCTAGAGTAATGGCAGGGTGATAAATGAAGGTGAAGATAAGGTTCTCCTTTTTCTTCCTTTTAGTAATTCTGAGATAGCCAAATTTCTGCAGCCAAGAGAGCAGTGCCGTATTTTGTCCACCGTGAGGGAGAGTAAGGTAGTGCAGAGAGTGAGAGGATTCTGGGGTACCATTTTCCACAACCCAGGAAGTAGAAACTATCACTTGAAAATAGAATTTCTTTAGAGATTCTATTTGTACACCCTGGGTAAATTGCTAATAACTGAATATTGGTAGGTAAATAA